CGATTTCAAACCCTAAACCCCATCAAAGCCTCCCCAAATTCGCGTTAGTAAGCGCCTCCGCCTAGGGTTTTAGTTAATCAATTGAATTATGTTTTTCTTTTCGAAATTTGTTGTATCGATTCTTGAAGATGCAAATTACCGATCGCACTTCTCTCTCTCTCTCTCTCTCTCTCTCTCTCTCTCTCTCTCTCTTAATTTTGTATTTTTTAAAATTTGGCAGGTTTATTTTGGGACTAAGTGAAGATGGGTATCATCGAGAAGATCAAGGAAATTGAAGCCGAAATGGCTCGCACACAAAAGAATAAAGCCACAGGTTTCCTTTTGAAATTTCAATTTTTTTTAAAAAAACGAATGTTGTATTACTGATAAATGTGTTAAACTTTGCTTGATTCTTTTTATTTGTAAGAAGTGTAAAAGCTGCTATTGCAATAGATAAATGAATCAAAGGATTAAAATTACTTGAAAGCATATTTTTCACCGTAAAGACATATGAATTGTTTTCATCCATGTAGCTATATATCAATAGTGACCATCTGTGTAAACTCTTTGATGGCTTTGATCCATATTCATTTTCGTCTACCCTAAGTTCTCAATTTTATATTAGCTTTATCATATTTCTTCCTGTAACGGGCACACTTACTGGTCATTGTTCAAGTTAGCTCTGGGTATGCGCTTTCATCTGATCATAAATTTTGGGCTTGTTGTTTTTTATTTGCGCAAACAAATCTCGTAGATTCTCTCTTCCAAGCATTAAACCCTGAGTAGTTTTATCCACTGACCTCCATCACTCTTCATCTATGGCTTTCTGTCCATCCACATCTTTTGCCTCTTCAACTGAGTGACATTCTTGAGCAGGCATCCCCTACATTTGTTTTGACAGCGTAAGTCCAAGAAGAGTTGAATTGTGATCCAATCCTCTTGAACTACTTCCATTCAAGTGACATAAACCCTTAAAGGAAAATCATGATTCCAAGTTTTTAACAGCAGGCAGCCTTGTTGTTTTCACTATGCTAAACATTAGCAACTGTGTGAATAGTAAAAGCTAAATACACTATTTATAAGGTCGCCGACATAAATTTTATCTGCATGTTGAACACTTAAGGTGATCCATCTAAAGAGCAATAGCTTCCGAGTCTCCTTGCAGAAAGACATGTGCACACCCCACATATTATTTTGTATGTATGCAAACATGCATGCTGTGTTGCTTGGCTTTTATTTATTGAGTTGTTTCCTTTGAGTTATTTGAAGAGTTTAGCATTATTGTCGATTTGTTGTTTATATTTTGTTTCTACACCATATGCTAATTTCTCTTTCACGCAGAATACCATCTTGGGCAACTCAAGGCAAAGATAGCAAAACTAAGGACACAATTGTTAGAGCCTCCAAAGGTATTCATATATTACCTTATTGTCCTTTTTAATAATGACAGTGTGCATATATTATTATTAGATCTAACTTAGCAAAAGTTATATTTATGATATGTAGTAGTACTTGTGTATGTGGGTTCTTAGTCTATGAATGAAGTAAATTATTTTTTTTTTTTTTGGTTTTTTTCTTTTTGCATGCCCACGTTTATAATTGTTTAAACTATTTAATTTATTGTCTGATAGGGCTCTAGTGGAGCTGGAGATGGTTTTGAAGTTACAAAGTTTGGGCATGGTCGTGTTGCATTGATTGGATTTCCCAGGTCCCACTTCTATCTTCAGTGGTTTATTCATACTTCATCAATTCTCTTAAAGTTAACATTTCTACCACTATGCTGATATGATAATATAACCCAAGTTTTTAAAACTTTACATATAGAAGGAGCTTCCATTAAAAGGAAAAAATCAACAACATAGTTGAACAATTGAATATAGGTAGAATTAATATCTGAAGTTCAAAATAATAGTAGAAATAAAATAAAGAAATTGGAGCCTTTGTATAGGCTGCTTTTTGTAGGTGATATCAATGTATATGGAAGTCTGTATAGGTTGCTCTCTTAATAGATGATATTCTATATGGAAGTCTCAAGTCATATAGGTTGCTCTGTGTGCAAACTTCCTAGCTATTCTGAGATATGCCTTTTTTTGAAATTATTGTGCAGATGTCTTGTTCTCAACTTTTCAGTGATGCCACACGACCTGCTTATAGTTTAAGGCAGTTATTGACTGAATATTGCTATTAATTTTCTGGACCAAACTAATTTATTTTAGAGATAAAAGGAGCAATTTTGGGTTATTTCTAGGATCTAGCCCTTCATACAGGCTGAATGGGTACTGTCAGTTTAGGATAAGATGGAGATGGAAGCTTGAAATGTTCCTTCTTTTTGAAAAGAAGAGAAGGAGGGTGGGTTTTTTTGGGGGGTGGGGGTGGGTGCTGTTGCTTCCCTTTGAGAAAAGCTGAAGTATGCATTGATTATAATATTTGTATAGTATGCCAAATAAAAAGTCAAAAAAGAAAATGGACATGGATTTGTGTTGCTAAGGTATGTTTAATATGAGGATGGTTTAGATATTGAACTACATGGATTAAAGCCTTAAGAAGAGGGTTTTTTTTTAGAATGTTAAGTAGGGTCCCTCTTTATCTTAAGAAGAACAGAGTTTCCCCCCCTTTGTGAATCCTGCTTCGCCTTTGGGGAAAGGCATCATTTCTAGTCTAGTGTGAAAGAAGCTTAATTAGTCACAGTCTATGATGAAATTTTTCACTCATGAAAAGAAGAAGGGAAATTGAGGAAGGACCTAAAGACACACATACCACCAGCTGCTCAGCATAATAAATGCTCAAGTATTTACATAGCCTTTCTTAGTATCTTTTGGACTCTCTGTTTGACCTTTGCAAAACAAGTAATGTTGTATACTAATTCTATTGAATGACTGCTTAGCACTATGGGTCAATTTAATTAACCTAAATACCAAACCAAATTATCCCTAGGATTTCTAACAATGAGCTACCTCTTTTTATTTGCTGAGTTCTCTGTGTTTATATTTGCATGCTATATTATTAACACATTGAGTTTTACTTACATTAACAGTCCTATGTGAAAAACCCTTTATAACAATTGCATATCCAAACTATAAACCCTTTATGCTCCATACATTAATCGACACTAGAGCCAATATAAGCATTATTAGAGGGGAATTTGTTCCTTCTTCATATAGAAGGTAATGCAAAAATCCTCAAGTCATTACGTCCTTTAATGCAAAGGTAACAACGATGACTCAAAAGGTCAAAAATCTCCCTGTTGTCTTCGAAACCATTGATAAGAGGGAAGTTTCTATGACGCTTTCCGTCTATGTTATGGAAAGTGATCATATGGAACATAATTTTATTGGGAATAATAACATACATCGCTGGTTTTCTATAACCATCGATAAATATGTTATTAAATTCAAATTTCTTTCTGATCAGAAGAAATTTTCTATTCCCAAAATTCCTTTTATGATCCGCATCGGGAAAGGTTTCACCCTCACTTTCGCAGCACAACGTAGTGAGATTACAAATCCACCGCTGCAAAACGAACTCAAGCAACTACATTATAATATTCCTGTTGCTAATGATTTTGAAAAGTCTATTCATACTATGTTGTCACCCCTATATAGTGATAACCCCTTGTTACATTTTGATAAAAGCCCTAGATATAGTACCATCCAGTTAAAGGATGAGTACAAAGAAAAAAATATCAGGGTTAATCCCATAGTGGCTAACTTTGAGGACAGAAAAGAGTTTGAAACTTAAATAGCTGAGCTCCTCAAACTGAATCTAATCCAAAATATAGAATCAAACCATTCTTCTCATGCTTTCATGGTAAGAAACCATGCGGAGCAAAAGAGAGGAAAAACAAGGATGGTCATTAATTAGAAAAAGGTTAATGAAACCACCAAATTTAATGGGTTCTTCATCCCTAATAGTGAATTACTATTTCATAAAATTCGGGATGCTAGATGGTTCAGTAAATTTGATGCAAAATCCGGATATTGGCAAATCAAAATAAAGGATGAAGAAAGCAAAAGGCTAACATCATTCAACTGTATTAATGGCGGACATTATGAATGGAATGTTATGCCATTTGGACTCAAAAATACTCCATAAATATTTTAAAAATGGATGAACAACATTTTGGGCATTTGCTATTTGTTGTCGTCTCTATATAGATGGCATCCTTGTGTTTTCCAAAACAAAGAAAGAACACAAAGAGCACCTGATAGCAGTAGCCAAGTTATTGCTCAATCATGATATTATTTTATCTCCTAAAAAGATAACTCTTATGAAAGAGGATATCAAATTTTAGGGAAAAGAATAAAATGTGGTCACATTGAATTGCAAGATCACATTATTACAAAGATCAAAGCGTTCAAAAATAATTTTAAAACTCTAAAAGATCTACAAAGCTTTTTGGGTTATTTGAATCATGGGAGACGGTATATACCTAATCAATGTTGTAAAAAGCGAAGAATAACGGCTATTCACGGAAGCGGTGAGTGACCGCTCCGCTTACCATGCGCGGGATGTCAGGCGGGAAAAATCGTTTTTCACTCGAAAAGTGTCTGATAGCGTGTAAATAGCGATGTTTAGCACTTAAAAACGCTTGTAAAAGCGCTTAAAAGCGTAGGACTATTTATTTTTGTTAATTTTTCTACCCGAACCCGACCCGAACCTGACCCCGAACCCGAAACCGACCCGAATGCATAATAACCTCTCTCTCGCCTATGAATCACGACCTCTTTCGCCTCCCTCTCATCTTCGCCTCCACCTCTGGTCTCCGCCTCCAGTCTCTGCAACCCCTTCCCCCTCCTTCTCCGCCTCCAGTCTTCTAAGCCGCCTTCATCTCCGCCTCATCCTGCGACTATCTCTCTTGGGCTTGGCTCGCAACAGAGAAAAAGTTAATTTACTAATTTTGCAAGCTCCTGCTCCTGCTCCTTATATCTACACACACTTGGGACTTAATTTGTTTTGCTATCTAAACACTTGCATCATAAATGAACTGCATTTTCTTTTCCACTCAAGACCACCCAAAAGTTCTCATTTCCTTTTATTGTCCCCTTTTCTGTTTTAACATAAACAGAGGATGTTCTAACTTAATTAACTATCATGATGCCCTCCTCATTAAGATAATATATTATTAATCAATTTTAATTATTAACATGAAACAAATGAATCTAGTCTAGCTAGCTCATTTGGAGGTTAGCAACTATCGGCTGGAATGTTGTACATAACTTGGATATTAGATAGGAGAAGAAAGATTAGGGTTCTAATATAGGATAACTGGAATGAGATTGAGCTAAGCCTGGGGTAGGACAGCATCTCTAAGATATAAGACCACTCCACTCTAGGACAATGGTAGATCAATGGAGTGACCAAGATTTTAAAATTTTTATCTATAGTAGTAACTTATAGCAGGCTATGACTTATGATTTTGAACTCGAACTCATAAATATTCATTTATAGTTTATATGCTTAATGAAAATGCTTGTGAATGATGCTATATATGATTTCTGTTTCAATTATTCACATTCTAAAAGTTCATCTCTTTAGTTACACATATATTTTATGCTTAGGCATTAAATATGCATTTGCTGAATTTTTAGAATTTTTTATAATTTTTCTTATTATTTAGAATATTTATATATATTTATATTTGACTGCTATATGATTAGGCGCTATTTGCTGCTATTTTGCCGTAATAACCCCAAATAGCCTTAGCAGTAGGTCGCCTCGTCGCGTCGCAACGCTATCTGCTATCAGTAACCTTGTATCTAATCTCTCTGAAAAAAAAATCTTCACTTTAAAATAAACTTACTGAAGAACAGAGGAAATATAAAGAAATAAATAATAAAGGAGTGACCTGTTGGGACATAGACAAAATTAGAATTGCACTAAATGATGAGCAATTACAAAAAATTGCCAACTTCAAAAAGAGATAAAGGAACAGAAAATCCTTTATCAGCCTCAATCTGAAGATATATTGGTTATACAGACTAATGCTTCAGATACACATTGGGCAGAAAAATCTTGTTTGTACTTCCGTCTAAGCATCCTCGGGCTAAATCAATATTCGAGCCTAGATCAAGGGCAAAGATCAATCAATTAGATCGCGAAATATGTGTATATTGCTCTGGGAAATTAAAAGGACCAGAGAAAAATTATGCAACATATGATAATGAATTATTAGCTATCAAAAATATTATTAATTCCTTAAAAATATATTTATTATCATCTGGGTTCATTATTGAAACAGATAATCAAGCTGTTGCACAGTTTCTCAAAAAGAAAACCAATTCTGTTATTGAGAAGAACATGCGCAGAATTAGATGGTCTATGAAATTAGAGAACTATATTTATAAAGTTCGATATATTCCTGGATTTACTAACATTGGTGCTGATTTTCTCTCCGGGCATGACTAGCTCGTCGAAACAGCCTCCAGATAAAGATAAGGGAAATGCACCAGCTCCCCCTCAAACAGAGGTAAAGGAGAAATGTGTTCAGTCCATCAACAAGACCTTCAACAAAGAGACAACCAAAAATAATTTTGTTCCTGTAAAAGGCAAAACAAAACGAGAAGCAGAAGATAAAACTGCTCAAAATAAGAAGTCCAATACTTTTCAAGGATATTGAAAAAACCTCTGCAATTTAAAGACATTGTAGTTAAAAACTGGTATAATACCAGTTTACCGAAAGAAGACTACAATGCAGTTAACAATCTCTGGAAGAAACTACAGGAGATGTGAGTTTCCACTCCAGACACTAAAGCTTGTCTATCTGCATTAGAAAAAATTATCAAGGAAAAGAATCGAAAGATTCAAGACATTGACAAGGGATACCACTTATGTAGAAGCATTGTGGAAAATCTCATGAGTAAATCAACCCTGACAATGTCAAGGGTAATGAAAAATCAAAAAGAACAAATGCAAGAATATTTGAGTTCAAACTCTAAACAACGCTATTTACGTGCTACCAACCGCTTTTCGAGTGAAAAGCGGTTTTCCCCGCCTTGACACCCCACGAGCATGGTAAAGAATAGCGGCGTTATAACGCCGCTATTCGTCGTTTTTTACAACATTGATTAGGTATATACAGTCTCCCATAATTCAGTAAACCCAAAAGGCCTTGTAGATCTTTTAGAGTTTCAAAGTTGTCTTTGAACTCTTTAATCTTTGTAATAATATGATCTTGCAATTCAATATGACCACCTTTTATTCTTTTCCCTAAAAATTTGATATCATCTTTCATAAGAGTTATCTTTTTAGGATATAAAATAATACCATGATTGAGCAATAACTTGGCTACTGCTATCAGATGCTCTTTGTGTTCTTCCTTTGTTTTGGAGAACACAATGATGTCATCTATATAGACGACAACAAATAGCAAATGCCCAAAATGCTGTTCATCCATTTCTGAAATATTTGTGAAGCATTTTTTAGTTCAAATGACATAACATTCCATTCATAATGTCCGTCATTAGGACAACTGAATGCTGCTAGCCTTTTGCTTTCTTCATCCTTCATTTTGATTTGCCAATATCCGGATTTTGCATCAAATTTATTGAACCATCTAGCATCCCGGATTATATGAAATAATAATTCACTATTAGGGATGAAAAACCCATTAAATTTGGTGGCTTCATTAACCTTTTTATAATTAATGATCATCCTTGTTTTTCCTCTTTTGCTCCGCATGGTTTCTTATCATGAAAGCATGAGAAGAATGATTTGATTCTGTATTTTGGATTAGATTCAGTTTGAAGAGCTCACTATTCGAGTTTCAAACTCTCTGTGCTCAAGGTTAGCCACTATGGGATTAATCATGATATTTTTTCCTTTGTACTCATCCTTTAACTGGATGGTGCAATATCTAGGGCTTTTGTCAAAATGTAACAAGGGGTTATCACTATATAGGGGTGACAACATAGTATGAATAGACTTTTCAAAATCATTGGCAATAGGAATATTATAATTTAGTTGTTTGAGTTCGTTTTGCAACCAAAAAAAAAATTTACTTTCAAGTCTAGAGCTATAATTCTATAGTTTCTCTTAAATTCTCTCCTTTCGCTTTGGGCAGTGTGGGGAAGTCAACACTTTTAACAATGTTAACGGGAACACACTCGGAAGCTGCATCCTATGAATTTACCACGCTTACCTGCATACCTGGGATTATTCACTATAATGACGCCAAAATCCAGTTACTTGATCTTCCTGGAATTATTGAAGGGGCTTCTGAGGGAAAGGGTCGTGGTAGACAGGTATCAATGTTTATTACTTTTTGCTAAATTTCTTAATTTATTAGTTATTTATGCAGAAACGGAAACTATCTTGCTTTATTGTGTACATTATTTTCCTTTTGGTGCCTTGTGATTTTACTTATTTCTTTTAGATACCTGCTCGCTAACTAGTTGGCGTACAAATAATGGATACAAGTCCTTATAATTTTCTTTTCAAAGGTTGTCCTATTGAGAAATCAACCTTTAATGAAGAAAAGCATGCTCCTATATGCCATTTAAGTTTGACCAAGCTGGCAAGCACATTGCATATGGTTTAGGACATGCACACATATATCATATATATCAGGTACAAACACATAATATTGGGTATGCAGTTTTTTGAAGTCACACCAATGCACATGTTCATTTGTGAACATATGCATATTTTATTTATCTTTGATTAGGAGCTTGTATATAAGAACCCAAAAGCGCAAACTAATACCAAAAGCAATTAGTGGGCTCTAATTTTTGAGAAAATAGGTTTACACACTTGGTTTACGAATAAAAAAGGTAGATGTTTGGTAACTGTGTAAACAGTGTCAGCATGGAATCAACAGCTATGTGACTGCATGGTGAACCACAACAAATCTAGATACCGACTTAACCATAGAGAGAGAATCTCATACATCTAGTATGTTCCCTATTGATCATTCTAAAATTGAGCCATGAATCATAACAACTGTCACAGTTGATGTATTTTTTAATAATAGTAGCCTGAAGCAAACCAAATATAAACCTTAGTCATTTGAAATTTGCTACCAATTTTTGAAACTAACGATAACGCATAACTTAAAGCTCGCCTCTCGATAACATAAAATGTAAAACAACATAACATAGAACGCAGGTTATACGTCTTATCATTTATCTAAATATTTAATAAGTACAAATATTAACAATGATTTTAATAGATGCAATCATCACAATTATCAAATATATCATCACAAGCATAGTGATATGACTAAAAGAAGTCATCAAGGCTTAACAAACAATTTAAAAGTAGATACTTATCTATTTCCAGTTCTAAACAAAGAAAATAGCCTGAAATCTCTATGATAATTTATGGATAAAAGATGGGTTTGCCACAAAAATATAAGAAACACTACATAATAGATTGAACTTACTCGTTCTGCAGTATATTCTCATATAAGCAAGAGCAAAAGTGATTAAGTGTTGATAGTTATCTCTTTGTTTTTAATACCTAGAGACCAATTTGATTTTAGTTTTCTTATTCAGGTCATTGCGGTTGCAAAGTCATCTGACCTTGTGTTGATGGTTCTTGATGCTTCAAAAGTAAGTTTTGTATATATTTTTTATCTTGCAGAAATTCTTCACTGAAAGCACATTCTGTTGTTCACTTTACAAAGAAACAGAGTCCAATATCTAGTTTTTTTTCAAATTATTTTTTTATTATTATTATTTTTTTTAATTTTTGCACTTCATATAGTTGTCTATGTTTGCTATAATTTACTAACTGAATACAGTTAATCATGTTCCATTTCGGTAATTTCTCATGTGTATTTTAGGATCTCTTTCTTGAAACTGGAAGCAGAATGCATCTAGACTATGGCACTTTTTATGTCTCACATTTTTAGTAATTAATTGTCTTGGGCATTTGTTTATTTTATGACCATTGGTATATTTTCTTCTTCTGTGAGCCTGTGTATGCCTTTGTGATGCTTTCTCATTTTTTGCGTGGGGTGGGAGGGAGGGACGTTTTTTGGCTTTCCATGATCTCGTTTTGCTAACTGCATTGCACCTGACATAGACTCCTTAATGACCCTCGTATGCAGCCTTTATATTCAAATAATTGTGTGCCTATGTACATATGGGGAAAAAATTATTTCCTAGACTTTCTGATAGTCCACTTAAGTCGATTTCCATTTGTTTTGGCTGTATAATTATTTAGCTACTTTTTGTAGTCTAGGTACGCCGTGCATTGAGTTTCAGAGGTAAAATCTAGGTTGTTAACTTTCTAGTTCTTTATCTTTTATTTTCTAATGTGTAAGATGCTTTCAGAGCGAGGGGCACCGACAAATACTAACAAGAGAATTGGAGGCTGTTGGGTTGCGTTTGAACAAGAGGCCCCCTCAAGTAAACTTTTATTTCCTTGTATTTGTAAGATGCCTTTGGTCATTGTTCATTGCCTTTGACTTTAGACTCCACCAATGCCCATTATTCTTTAGAGAAATAGCAGAAGGAATGATTTTCTTTTCTTCATTATAAAAGAAAATGTCGAGAATTCTTTTTTTCCATCAAAGGTAACATATTTTTCCTATTTGGTTGACTCCAGATTTATTTCAAGAAGAAAAAGACTGGTGGCATTTCCTTCAACAGCACTTGCACATTGACACATGTTGATGAGAAACTTTGCTACCAAATCCTTCATGAATACAAGATCCATAATGCAGAGGTACTCCATTCCTGTTCTTACTTATCTATGGGTATAAATACATATCAAATTTCTTCATCTTAGGATTATAAGTACTTGTTTGTTACTTCCATGAGTAATGCTTTATTGTGCCTCATGAACTTTGCTCCTTGCCGATTGGTACTGAGAAGAATGATTTGTGTTTCTTATCAGAGTAAATACACTTTATCTTTGATTCTAATCGTGCTGATTGTTCTGTAGCTATTATTTCGTGAGGATGCTACAGTTGATGATCTAATTGACGTCATAGAGGGAAACCGAAAGTACATGAAGTGTGTTTATGTCTATAACAAGATTGATGTCATTGGTATTGATGATGTAGACAGACTGGCCAGGCAGCCTAGTTCAGTTGTCATCAGCTGCAATCTGAAGGCAGGTTTCTCTTTTTGCTTTTTTCTCTTTGATTGTTTATATTTGCTCTACCAGCAATTCCAGCTCTCTTATAAGAGTTCTTCTCTTTGAGTCCAATTACTTTTTAGTTAGTGCTGATCTGATTTAAGAGTTTGAGTCCAAATTATGATTTGTAAATTCCTTGACTAAACTACTATTAAGATGAAAGTAAGCTGAAAAAATCTTTAATTTGTTCCATACTTTGTTGCAGCTTAATTTAGATAGATTACTGGCAAGAATGTGGGAGGAGATGGGGCTTGTGAGAGTTTATTCAAAGCCACAGGGCCAACAACCAGATTTTGATGAACCTTCTGTACTTTCCACGGTAAGTTTATATTGTTCTCTCTACCTAAATGCACATGCCTATGCCTGGGATTTTGATTGTCGAGATTCCACCTTCTCATGATTTATCTGTGTGGTTTACAAACAGGATAGGGGTGGATGCACGGTAGAAGACTTCTGCAATCATATACACAGGAATTTGTTGAAGGATGTAAAATATGTGCTTGTATGGGGAACCAGCGCGAAGCATTACCCTCAGCACTGTGGGCTTGCCCATAATCTTCATGATGAGGATGTTGTTCAGATAGTAAAGAAAAAGGTACGTGTTTACATCAATTGGACCAATAACTTGAATCGACTTCTTTGATTTTCTGATGGGACTTGGTCCAAATAACATGTTTCATGTTTTAGTCTACTTTTATATTGTACTAGAGGTGAAAACTTCCATCTGTATATTTGTTGGAGATGTCCTTTTAAGACTTGTGAAACCTCCTTGTTGCATATACCTTCCCATAGTTTCTCGTGGGTATCTTATGCCTTTATATCTGCAACACTTGTCAGTTAGTTTCAGCCTTGAATTTGGTGATAAGAAATATTAGGAAGTGTACATCAATTTCAAAAAAAAATCAGAGATTTTACTTCATGGGGGCATGGCCAAAATCATATAATAGTGTACTCATAATTTCATCATCACCCTTGCAGGAGAAGGAAGAAGGAGGGAAAGGTCGATTCAAATCTCATACAACTGGTCCTGCTCGTATAGCTGACAGAGAGAAGAAGGCTCCCCTTAAAACATGATTTTTCCTGTATTCTTTTCTAATTTCATGTGGAGCTGTCTCACTTTTCGATGCTAAAATATCTGCAAGTTTCTGAATGAGAAGAGTAATTTATCAAATGCATACACCTGTGATGGAGGAAATATGAGAAAACTGTATTCAGTTGTCCAACACCTTCTCCAGAAATAGAAAATAGTAAGTTTTGGTATCGTGTCTGTGTTTGTATCCTACACTGCTATAAGAAGTCCAGAACCTGTACACTATTATGTATGGTTACCTTGTTTTATTCAGAGTTATGTGATTAGTTTACTGTGAAATATTCGAATGATGTCGTGGCATCCATTTGTCATCTTTTTGTTTAACCTTGGTTTAAATGATCTCAGAGAAAGCAAAACATGGTTTCAGGTTTTGCTACTGAACTTACCTTATAATTTTATGTCCTGTGTGGACTCTTAAAATTTGTTGTTAATTCTAAATTGTTTGTGGGCTTATTTACAAATAGCTATAAAATTTTGAGAATTTGTTAAAGGTGCTGCATGATTATTCAAGTTACAAGTATGAGAAAAGCTACAAACATTGCTTTTAGCAGCTGAAAAATACTGTTATCTGGTGCCAGCTATGGAGTCAGCTCTACACATAGATGCATGCGTATGGATACGAGTAAAAATAATGCATTGAAGCAGGAAGTTTACTATTGTTATTATTTTTTCTCCTTTCCTTTTGGGGGGAAACTGTAGCATCATCTTCCTTACTTCATAAAGAAGTAAATTTCCACTGCTCATAATGCTGTTGTAGGAAGTCACCAGCGTATATGGTTTCTTTTGGAAAATATTGGTGATATAAATAGAAAAATGAATATTTTTGTAAATGAAAAGCTTTTAGCGCAACGTGGCTTTGAGTTGTAGTTTTTTGTATCATTAGGTTGTAAGTTATTGCCATCTTTCTTTTTGAGTAAATTTATTGTCATCATTATTTTATAGCAAAATCTCTAGGAATAAGCGTAGAACTTCTTGCCGGAAATATTTAGGTTCAGCTACCAAATTTGCATCACACTGAGTTTTCCCCCTTTATTTTAAACTAGTTCTATCTTTATTTCTAGGCTTAACCCTATCTAGATCCATGGTGTGCCTTAGCAATAATATTCTCTTTAATTTATCAAGCTCAGTAAGTCCTTTTATGTGCGAAAATATTTTTGTTTGCTAATTGCAAGAATTGAGTTCAAAGCGGCCACAATCAACTATAAATCATTTACTATTGATCAATGTCAACATCAAACAGTAGCTCTAGCCTTTATGTAATCTTTAAAGAATAACCTTAATTAATGGGCTTGGAAAAATCAATACGTAGGCTTGTTTATCAATACGTAGGCTTGTTTATCAATACGTAGCCTTTATGTAATCTTTAAAGACTAATCCTTATTATTCTATAATATAACACCATATTCTCAGTTTTTTTTTGTGTTTTGATAAGAATTAGTATTTACTTACTAGCGACGACTGCACCTGGTTTTTCCAATTTTATAACACTCAAGAGACCTGGTTTTAACAAGAGCTAATGATAATTGTTCACAATAATAAATGTAAAAACAACATAAGTCAAGGGCTTTCACGCAAAGGCAACCCTATAACCTTCCCGTCTCTTTATCTTATCCCAGCTAAATTCTCCAACTAAAAATTCCCCCATACATATTCCCAAAATAAATAGTAGTACATGCAAAATAACTTAAAGTCAAGGGTTTCGGTGCAAAACACACAGCTATCTCCCCCTCTCTCCCCGTCTCTCTTCAGCTCTCCACCGTGATCCCGGTCCAAATCTCTTCCTCAATCCTCTCCGGATCTAAAGCGAGATGAACCCAAACACAGCCACAATGTCCTCCCCCTCAAAATCCCTAACCAAAACCCTACTAATCTACGTAACCCTAGCTCTCCTCCTCCTCCTCCTCCTCTCCTCCCACTCCCCCTCCAGCGGGACCACTTCGGCCTCGATCACGCCCCGGCCCACGAGGCCCAGCCCGAATGGGAGGACTTCGTGAACGCCGAGGACTACATCAACGACGAGGAGAGGTTCAATGTTACCCACCGGATTGTGCTGCTTTTTCCGAGGATCGATGTGGGGCCCGCTGATGGGTTTGTGACCGCCGAGGAGCTGGCGCAGTGGAACGTGCAGCAGGCGATGAGGGAGGTGATGAGGAGGACGCAGAGGGAGATGGAGCTTCATGATAAGAATAAAGATGGGCTTGTTGCGTTCAAGGAGTATGAGGCGCCGAGTTGGACGTCGGCTTTCGGGGGTAAAAGTCTTAGCCTTGTTGCATCTTTTGGCTGTTGTTTTGATTTGATTTTGTAGAAACCACCGGTGATAGGTGGTAGATTTTAGAGGGAGGGAATTCAAATCTCTTATAAGCCCATAATTGATTTCAGAGATAGAGAATGCAAATGTCTTATAAACCCACACTTTACTCCTCCATTTAGGTGAAAGCGGTTAAATGGATACCACCATGCCTCCATAGCCTAGGCGCCCATACAAGCGACATCACCCCTTTGGCTTTGGACTAGACTAGTCCAGGACGAACACTGCAATGCTGACATCACCTTCCGTTTTGCTCGCTTGCAACCAGGAAGGTGATGTTGGCTCTAATACCGTTAATAACATCTGTAGGTGATCTAGGAGGAACAAAAAAAGCTAGTTGTTAGAGGGAGGGAATCAAAATAATTTATAAACCCACAATTGATTCCCTATTTGGTCAACGTGGGAATAAATGGATCTTAACATGCCACCATGCTTTCGCATTCACCGAGCCCATGCAGCTTGGCATTGTAGTGGACTGGTCCTGGACAAACAATGGTGTCACCATTATTACCTTTGATTGCAATCGGGAATATGGGGGGATCTAAAAGAATTTACCACTAAAAACTAGTTGTTTGTGGGAGGATATATAAAATTGTCATAGATCCGCAATTGACTACCCCTTAATTCGATGTGGAACTGAATGAATCCTAACATATTTTAGTTGGTGGCAGATGACAATGCTTCAGCTTCTATTGGGTGGTGGAGGGAGGATCACTTCAATGCATCAGACTTGAATGGGGATGGTCTTCTTAATTTGGCAGAGTTCAATGAGTGAGCCTTCTTATAGTGTGAATGTTTTCTGTCTAATTTGTCTCAATGTTTTGTGTTGATATCTCCTTGGTTATGTTTTTGACCAGTTTTCTACATCCGGCGGATAGTACTAACCCAAAGCTCATTCACTGGTTGTGTGAGGAAGAACTAAGGTGAAACTTCTTCCGGTTCACTTTTTTATATGAGCTTGTGTGTAATTTATATCTTATTTTTTCTTGTTTACAAAAAGGATGGAGAGCTTGGAATGATGATATTAGTCAGCTGGTAGTATAAGAAGCAATATTTGGTGAAAATACAAGTTAAAACAATTTTAACTATTGGTAGCATTTAAAGGTAAAGATAAAAAGCTAAATATGCTAGTAAAACTGAAGGCTCCATGTTTGTGGTTGAGAAAGGAGGAGTATGGTTTTTCTTATGTGTAATATAACATTGCCCTTAAAGAAAATGACTCCTCTTGGAACTTATGAAAATTTAATTGATTCTCTTGTGAAAATTTATTGAGAAAGAGAGGGAAGGTTGTATAGTGAAGGGGAAGAGAGGGAACTTGGAATCAGAAGGAGCAATGGAGTGAACACCCTTTCTTGTCATGAAAGACAGAAGGTCATGGAGATGAAATCTAGAGGATAAACTTTGGAATAGATAGGATAGGAGAGAATCAAATTCTTTGTATCTTGCTTTGAGAATAGAAGACTCTCGCTCTGGCTTTCTGTTGTCTTGAACAACCCTCGAGAGATAAATATCCAGCCAAACGAGAACCTGGTATTCAGTCACTTTGAGCGCAAGGAACATATACAAGCATGATTTTTGTTCTCTCACAAGATAAGAAACAAGTGAGAAGAAGTTTCTTCTTTATATAAATTCATTAAGTAGGTCATAAATGGTCAGAAATAAAAGTGGAAATAAAGGTATAGAATCACAAAATACAACTTGCAGGTAGGGGATTGCAAGAGCTGGAGCATCATATTTTCATCATAGTTGAGAATTCTGAACCATGCCTCAATGATCACAGTCTGAGTCTGCGGTAACATAAATGGAGACTGCAAGAAATTCTTCAGCTTATTTGTATCTTCTGAACTGAAGCTAAAAATGGAGCAGGAGGCAGTACTTATTTAACCCAAAAAAAAAAGAGGGGAAAAAAAGAAAAAAGAAAAAGGAGGGGTGGTCGTGATACTTAGATCTTAGAATCATGTTAGAGGAGACCTTTAAGCTGACAGCCTAACACTATTCTTAACAAGTGATTACGAGAATGTAATATCTTTCATGCTACATAACGATGCTTATATAGCCGCAGCAAACAACAAAAAGTCACAGCGTCATGATTACCCTATAATGGCTTGTGTTGAAGCTAGTGGAAAATAAAATAAAATGAGACTTTTTGGTTGAAGGTGCTCTTGGTAGCTAAACCCTAACTCATATAGCCTCCTCTTTCTCTAATTTGATTCTGGTAGCCTAATCCAAGATTAATCAACTTACTCATAGTTTACATTAAAATTGTGGCTTTTTGAAGAGTTGGGGTGGGCAAACACGAAAAAAGCAAATGTTTTGGCTATGTCATTTGAGAGCAATATTAGAAACCCTCAGGATTATTAGGCAATAGGTTAGCATGAGTTAGGTCTGGGGCTAGATCTAGAAGAAAAGAGGAGAGGAGAAAAAAATGAAGAAGCACAGTCAAAACCTATTTGGTTGACACTCATTTTCTAAATTGGGTGAGATTTGTGCATAGCTACGTGGAGTCTTGGTGTTATTGGTAGAGGTAGTAATGGGTTTGTGGTTACTGTAATGTATCGTTTGTTACGCGAGGACGAAATTAAGTGAGAATAGAATGAATGTAGGAATGAAATGACTTTAATGTGAGAATTGAATGCTCATTCTCATTCTCATGTTTGGGTGCAATCAGAGAATTGAGTGGAAATATCTTTAGGAAGGGTATGTGTGATGTCCCTGTTTTCACACATGGCTGCAGTCCAAGATGAGCCTAGAGATGTCAAATCTGTCATGCACTCACATTGTGCAACAACACGTTTTACCATCATAGTAATATCTCTCTAGTGAAATCAACAATAAGTATAAGAACAAAACAAGTAAAATAAGAAATAAATGCATTAGACATGATGTAGAAAGAGATATCTAATAAATATAATCATGTCTCAACTGAATTAACTAAATAGGACTGAAGTCTGAAATAAATGTGAAGTATCTCAATATGAGTCAACTGAAAATAAACTAAGGCACACAACCTTTACAAAATGAAATACAAAACTCTAAATGTCTGAAAGAAAATATCAACTATGGTGGAGTCTCATCTATTAAAAACATGTGACGGCTACTATGCTAGAAGTCGGTCATCCTGCGGCTCTCCGGAATTCTGAGCTGCTGCCTAAAAAGAATTAAAAAATAAAAAGAGAAACAACAAGAGCGTCAGAGCGTTACAGCAAGATTATCTCCATCCGCCCCAAGGGGAAGGGCTACTAAATGTGATGGAAGCTCTATCTATTAAGGGGCTGTTTGGTAGGCTGCAACTGGAGTGGTTGCAACTCCAGTTGCATGCAACTAGGTCCAATTTGACTAGTTGCATGTGTTTGTTTTGCTGCAATTCACAGTTGCAGCTGCAACCATAGTTACAAAACAACCCTTAGTTGCAACATATGACTTACGTTAAAAATGGCCGCAAGTCATAGTTGCAACTTAGTTGCAACTGACCTAAATTTATTAAAATCAAAATCATTACTTAATATTTCAAAAATAAATTCATTTAAGGTTTAAAATAATCTTTTAAATAATTCTTATTATAATAATTTCTTCAAAAACGTTTTTAAAAAAAAACAACATCAATCTTATAAAATAATTATTATTATAATAATTTCTTCAAAATAATATGTTAGTTTTAAAAGTAATATATTATCTTTAAAATAATATATTATTTTTTAAAAATAATATATTTTTTAAAAATAATATATTTTTAAAAATAATATATATTTTGAATCATATATTTTTCTAAAAATAATATATTTTCCTAAAATAATATTTTTTTGAAAAATAAAATTTTCCAGGAATAATATTATTTTTCTAAAATAATATATTTTTTGATAATATATTTTAATAATATATATATTTAAAATAATATACTTTTCTAAAAATAATCTATTTTAAAAAATATATATTTCTTAAAATAAATATATAATTTTCCAAAAATAATATATTTTTTAAAAATAATATAATTTTTTAAAATAATATGTTTTTTAAAATAATATATAGTTTTTAATAATATATATTAAAATACTATATTTTTTGAATAATATATTTTTTGAATAATATATATTTTTAATAATATATATTTAAAATAATTAAAATAGATATAGATTATTGTTTATATAAATATTTAAAATAATATAATTTTATTGAATAATATATTTAAAATAATATAATTTTCTAAAAATAATATATATTTAAAATAATATATTTTTTGAACAATATGTTTTTAAAGTAATATGTTTTTTGAATAATGTATTTTTAAAATAATATAATTTTCTAAAAATAATATATATTTTAAATGATATGTTATATTATTTTTAAAAATATTATATTAACTTTTAAAAATATATTATTTGTTAAAAATATATTATTTTTTTAAAATATATTATTTTTTAAAAATATATTATTTTTAAAATATTACTTTTTAAAAAATGTTATTTTTTAAAAATATTTTATGAGTTGCATATGTTAAGTTATAAGCATAATCAAACAACTGCAACTATAAGTTACAAAATTTAAATTTTAAACCAAACAATTGCAACTGTAGTTGCATGTAAGAAGAGTTGCAACGTCTCAGTTGCATGCAAGTGACACTTGCATTGCAACTCTAGTTGCAAACAACCAAACGCCACCTAAGTATAGTCTACCTAGATCATTTACCCTGTATCTAAATAGAAACCTACAACACGAGATGTAGTACGTCGAGGGAAATAATTCAAACAAGAAAACTCTCATATATATACCATATGTCTCAAATTGTAGATAACTAAATATCAATACCGAACTATGAATAAACAATCTAAATAGAATCAATAATTAGAAACTCATAACATGAGACTGGTATGTCGAGCGAAATAATCCAAATAAGAAAACACTCATGTATATACCATATGTTTCAAATTGTGAATCGCTAATTATCAATTCCAAACTAAGAATAAAGAAAAGCAATATAAGAAAGTAAAGTCATCACAATATCGGACCAAAAATATCTTCCACTATCCCTTGGAAGATAATATAAATAACAATATATAATCCCGCGTACCCATAAGAGTAAAGTACATCGGTCATATATAACTCAGCAACGAGTCATGTTCATAATGGCGTCCACCAAGACTCAGACTATCAGATAATTATCACAATGTAAATATTTACAAAGTTTATAATTCATCGCATTATCATGCGAGACGGACTACCAAATCGGCATCCTAATAGTGTACACGGCTCATTAGTCTCATCGCATCAACGTGCGGGACGGACTATTAGATCAAGTATCCTAAAAACCGACTCAATAACCTGTACTAATGGTATATCGACGTACTATCCCAAGTAGTATTGAGCGGTGCTCATCAACAATATCCATACATGTATATAATGTTTAAATAACTCATATCTCCCGTGCAATCGAAATAATAACTGTATTAGTCCTCTTCGGGATACGCATGTGTATTACGACACTATACATGTATACTCATGATTGTACGTGTATCATCGTGCGCCTCGAACCCCACGTTAGAAAATAGAAGGTGTAAAAAAACAACACTTCAAACAAAAGAGAACACAGGTCGGTCGACCGCCCCTAGGGCGTCGGTCGACCGAACACAAACGTGCACAAAGTGCATTCACAGGATCTCACCGGTCGACCGGCTAGCCTTGGTCGGTTGATCGACCAGAGAAGATATTCACAGATCAGGTTTTGGCGTATGTATTTTTGTAACTTTATTCAAAAACTTAATTTTATTAACATGAGGCATATAACAAGATTTAAACTTTCATATTTGCTTAACATGAATTTACTCAACATGATTTAAACTCTTGAATTAATCTAGTTAGGGTTTAGCATCTCAATTAACCAAAATTTCTCAAATAAAACATAAATTATCAACATGATTAACTAATCATGATTGGAACTAATCATTGAATAGATATAAAATAATTTAAACACGTTCACATCACTTAGATATCACAAACCTAGGGTTTATAGATCTTAAATTAATAAGAAAACTCAATTAATTATTAAACTAGGGTTTAAACATGATTTAAGCATAATTAATAAATTAAAACGAAAATAAAAGCACCCCTAATGTTCATGATCATCAACTAATATAAACAGCAACGAAATCTACAGATTTTCACATTGATTTAAAGATTAACATCATAAACTAAGATTTTAAAATGTCGGGTTAAACTTTAACATGAGATTCATCAATTAAACATCTTAAATCATGAATTAACTATAGGGAAAAGTTTGGAGAAAGATGATCTTGCCTTAAACGTCGTGTTGAACTTCTGAACACGTGCGTGCAGGATCCCTTTTCACCAAAGTCGTAAAATCTTGCTTTCCCCTCGACAAACGCCTCAAGAACTCTCCCAAATCTCACAAATTATGATTAGGGTTTGAGAGAGAGGAAGATGGACTGCTAGGGTTTGGAATACTGATGAAAAGATATGTTTTTCGTGTGTAAACATGTATATATATAACTGCAAACCCGAATCAAAACAACCCAAACCCGAAATAGGAAGCCTAGTCAGATTGGAAAAATAGTCTTCAGTATTTTGGCTGTAACTATCACGTCCGACCTCGGAATGAGGTGATTTAAGATGCGTTAAAAAGTTATTGAAGATATCTACAACTTTTATCTTTTGAGTTTTTCTAGATTCGAACTATATCGGTGTGTAATGCATATATACTCTTAACTGGTCATTTTTCAGATTTCTTCTTTGTGCATGTTTAACCTTTGTATGCTCTCATATATACTCTTAATTGCTCTCAAATCAATTGTTAGCATAATCATTCATCCATAAATGATATTCATCATAATTAGAGCTCATTTATCAATATAATTCACACTATTTTTCAAAATTCATGGGGTTTTATAGTATGTCTGGAATTTATTTTTTATTTTTATTCTCATTTAAGTTGGAATATCTATTCCTTGGTAACTTGTCGGGAATAGCAATTCTAGCATCCAAAAACACGTTAGGTTTTGTAAGCATGAATGGGAAGTTGGAATTGTATTTTCCCGCATACCAAACAATGCGTAAGAGTTAGGTAATAGATTAAGTGTTAATATTTGTTTCCTATTTGTATTTAGAATCAGATATTACTTTTTTGTTAAGTATTCAAATATGTTTTGATTAACATTTTTTAGGGACGTCATTTAGTCATATTGTTAAGTTAATCATGTTTATGTGAGTTCTAAGATGGACGAATGGAAATAAAGTAAAAACCATAATGATGAATGAGTACATTGATGTAGATTGATCCAATTCATAAACAAGTGCAGGAGAATTTATTGGGATGGTTTGAGCATGTGCAACAAAGACCATCAAGTTAGGATAAATTTTGACAATATTGAAAAGAACAGTGGGCAAGAAAAATAGGCAGCTTTAGGGCAAGAACTATAGGCAGCTTTAAGTGGGCATGAATGGATGATGAAGAAAAAAGATGTGATAGTAGTTAATTTAACTGTCCTTAACTGCTTAACCGACTCAAACGGAAGAAAAGGATCCATCTATGACCTAAAATAATTTGGGATAAACACTTGTAGTTGTTATTATGTCAAATGAAGCAATGATACACCCAATTAACGGGAGGGTTGTTTTCTCTGAGGTGGAATTGACTCCAGAATTTCTGTCATCCTAGTCTCATTGGCGCCCAAACAGAAGGGAGCATCCCTCTTATCTGAACCGAGTTCTCAAATTTATTGTTTGCTTTTTTGGCCTATTTGTATATATCTATGGAACCTTTTTGTTTATCATTAGTAGTTTAATTAAGTGGTTTCTAGTATAATCACCTTTGTAGATGCTAGCTGTCTTTATGTGGATTTGCTTTTGATGGTTCAAGCATGGGATAGTTATCATCTTTGAATTTGCAACAAAAAAATCTTGTACTTTAGTTGTCAGATTGAACTTCCAGTTAGAAGTATTCACACACTGATACTAGAATAAGGCAAAAGATGTATATCAAAAGCTCTAAGTAGAAAAAAGATGTCGTTAGAGGTAAACTTCCTGAGGGTAGAAAATTAGTAGCAGTGTCATTTTGATGGACAGCTGTCTGAATTTCAGAATGCATCAGGTTTGTACATAGAATAATTAGGTGAGCTTCTGAAGGTTGCAGCAGGTGTTTAATTTGTAAGTTGATATGTAAAGCTAAGTGCCTTTTCTTTTTTCCCCCTGATGGACATATCATTTGCATAATTCTGTTAGCTGCCATTTTTGAACATGTAGGTGTGCATGCGGGCATGCTGGCTAATTCATTTTTTCTTGTTTTTTCTTGTGTGCTTGTGCATGCAAGCAGATCTTTTTACATAATAAGGATGTGTTAATCCTAGTAAAATTCTGTCTAAAATGTTTAAATGACTGATGTTTCTTTTTCCAGGGAAAGGGATAAAGATAAAGATGGGAAGCTTAACTTTCAAGAGTATTTTCATGGACTGTTTGATTCATTACAGAACCATGATGAAGTTCATAATGCATCTGATACTTCAGAAACATCGAATGCTAAAAAGTTATTTCAGGAGCTTGACCTCGACAAGGATGGGTACTCTTTCAGACAGTTTCTTTTAGACTTCAATCCAAAAGTGCTTATATAGAGTACTGATGCTAATATCCTTTTCTCAGGTTTTTGTCAGTAGATGAACTAAAACCTGTTATTGGCACACTTCATCCTTCTGAGCATTATTATGCAAAACATCAAGCTGATTATGTGCTAGCACAGGTAATAAGAAAGGGAATTTTCTCAACAAACTGTGTAGAAAGTGATTTGGATTAGTTTTCACAACTAAATGGTTGAATATATGCAAGGTGTTTGATGTGTTCTGCATGAAAGTAGGGTATCTGGTTAGAAAAGTGGCTATCTTAAACTGGGTTTAAGCTATGCAAGGTTCTCAGAACTGACCTGAACTGGTTGCTATTTCATGGACCTGGATTATCTTTGATTCCCCAGAGCCCTATAAATGACTTATTCATTCTTTGACATGCTGTGTTGTTTCCTCAGGAGTGTGGTTTAGGGTCTGGTTGCATGGAATTGGAATAATGGAATTCCAATATTATTATTTTGTTCAAATCACACTTTTTCTTATAATTGACAAATTTTAATTTGCTGTTTTTATTTTAAAGGATTAAATTTGAATTCTTTTAAACCAAATATATGTAATCTTTTAGGGTCTGTTTGGCAAACTCATCTAAATTAGGCTAAGATTGATCATGGCCCAGTTTTGAGGTAAACAGGCTCTTTTTTGATCCAAGGGAGGGGTGGATGAAAAAAGGACCTGTTTAAGCCCCCTTTTTAGGCTCAGAAAAAATTGGGCCAGAATGGGCAGTTTTTGCCAATAAAAAACTATACCAAAACTGGAACTGGTTCAGTCCTTGCCTAATTTTAAGTGTGCACTTGGCAATTCCAAAATAGGATTGAGTTTGAAGTAGTTCTTGCTTAACTAGGCTAGAGTTGATCCATGTAGGGGTTGGTTCAAAAAGAACTAGTTTAAGTGCTAAAATTTGAACTAGAAAAAACTAATTCAAACTTGGCCCCCAAGTTTTGTCAAACAAAAAACAACTTTTTGGAGCACACTTGTATGCACTAAAACTAGTTCTTTAGAGTTGCCAAATACACCCTTAGGGTTTGCCAAACACACAACATGGAAAGAAACTGGTGACTTCATTGTGAAGGTAATCATGTATGTGTTGATGACCGTAAAAGGCATCATTAAGGAAAAAAGATTGAAGATTTCAAATATATACACTACTGAACAGAAAGACCAGTTGTCAATTACAAGAATGAAACAGTATGAATTGAAATTCAACATGAAGTTGCAACTTAAGGCAACTAAATACAAGCCATAAGAAGATTAGTTCAAGTTCTGAATATTCTAATGCCCTGTTGAAATGTTCATGAAATAAACACTTAATTCTCAGCAAACTGCATTTAACGATTTTTATTTTCAACTACCGCTTTTTGCTGCAATTTGGACCTTTTTTTTACCTGTTCTGATCGGTCTGACATTTAGGTGTAGGGATATAGTTAACCTGTTCATGATTTTAGTTTATGGGGCTAAACATTATACATGATATATGAATCTGTGGACCTATTCATTACAATTTGTGTTTATCAGTTGTCAATATGTTAAAGTTTACTGTCACCAGGCTTCATGATCATGTATTGTAAGAAATATTTCTCAATCCTGCAGGCAGATGCTGACAAGGATGGTCGGCTAAGTTTAAGGGAAATGATTGAACACCCATATGTGTTTTACAGTGCCATTTTCAGTGATGATGATGATGAAGATGACTTTCATGATGAATTTCGTTAATGGACCCCAGGTTTGTATAAGTTCAACGAAAAAATTATTCTGTTATCGATATATCGAAGTCTTATTGGTTATATTTTACGGGCTGAAGATAGGCACAGAGCTTCACCAATCACTTAATACTCAGCAAGAATTTAGTCCAGAAAGTGGTTGAGAAGTCTTTCAAGTTAGTGTTCTGATAGAAGTCATTTTTGGGTGAGCACTGTCTTTTTCGTCCTGTATTGTAGCTAATTTTCTTGATCTTTAGTCCTCAAGCAGATGTTTGGTTCTTGGGACCCTTCTAGATTGTTTTCTCTTGCGCAAAAATTCTTTCATGATTGAAGGCCTTGTAGGTAACTCTGAACAGCTTCACTAGATTCCGTTTGGATACCATTGTGTTTTACTTGTTTCCATGGTGTTTTTGTCAAAAACAAAACACCATACGTTTTGAAACCATGGTGTTTTTTGAGCTAAATCATTCTCAAACCAAAAACACAACACTTATTTCAAAACACCTTTTAAGTGTTTTAAGTTTGGTGTTTTGGTTTTGAGTTTGAGAAGGTGTTAATATAATATTGAACATAATATGTTGAATGTAATTAATATAGAGTTATTATTAACATGCTTATTATATTATATTATACTATACTATATTATAGTTAATTTAATATATTAGTAAAAATTATTAAATAATATAAAAATATAATAAATAAAATATCTTATAGAATAACATATTAAATACCAATATTTAATAATAATGTATTATATAATAAATAAATAACAATAAAATATAAATAAACTAATAAAAATAATTAAAAAGGTATTGATAATAAATAATAATATAATAATATACTATACAATAGTATAATCGCTATAATATTATTAACTTTTTAATAAATAATTTGTAATAAATTAATAATTATAAAATATTATATAATAGTAACATATTTAATAATAACATAACAAATAATAATATATATGATAATAACATATTGTATAGTAAATGTAATACAATAATATAAAACATTAATACATTATGTAATAAATAATATAATTTATTATAAAGTAAATATTTTTATTAATAAAATAATTTATTGCTAATAAATGTTAATGTAAAAATAATATATTCATAATATAATAATATTTATTTATATCATAAATACTAATATATTATAAAGTACTATTAATAAACTCTAACATATTAACATATTAAAAACTATAATATATATATAATATTGAAATATTTAAAAATATATTAATTTATTAATAACATACTAGTAATAACATAATATTAACATTATTAATAATATTATATTATATGCATAATATATAATATATATATATTAATAATAAGTATAATATAATATAATAATAATATAACATCTATACAAATATTAATATAATATACAACAATAACAAATTGATATACTAAAATAATTAGATATATAATTATTTGAAATAATATGTAATAATTATAATATAATAATAATTATAATATAGTATAACCCATTAAAGTATAATATAATATTATAATACATTATACAATAATATATTGCATTACATTTAATACTTATAATTCTATAATAATGTAAACTAAATATTATAACATTTTATTTACAATATATTTTATTAGAGTTAATATATAATATATTAATAATATGTTTAATACTAATGTTATAATGGATCAACCTAGTGTTGACCAAAAATACTTAACATGGTGTTTTGAAAACATTTTAAGAGAAAAACACAACACAATGGTGTTTTTTTACAAGAACACAACAAGGAAAACACCATGGTATTCAAACGAAGATTTTTATGTTTCAAATTTATTTTCCACACAACGAAAGCTGAAAGAAAGATACTTCAAACTTTCAGGAAAAATTCACAAAAAATTTTGGGTAGTGAGAAAGTTAAAAGGAAAATACTTCTGCACCCTTTTTTTTGGGTACATCTCTTACACCACTAGCCATTCTAAATTTTGATCTCATGATAAGCAATGTTCTTTGCAGGTCAGAATTTAGCTCACTCCAACTAAAGGTCTGGAATCACTAGGCACATACGCGCTATTCTTTTTAATTGATTCTAGTTATTATTACATCGGAATTTTACCTCCCCAGCATCTGATGATAAATGTAAAATAGAAGAAATACCATGTACCATTTAGATACACTACCTGTACTATATTGTGGATTTTGTTACTAATATTACTTCTTTTAGACATCCTTTTCTCCTGAGTACATGTAATGCTTATGGTGTCAAAGCTAATGTGCTCATCATCTAGCATGCAATGATCTCTATTTAGAAATCCCTCAACTTTGATCATATGTCCTTTGGTAGCATTATCAGGTACCGAGTTATCAGTGAGGTGTTTCAGTCAGACCCTTACAATGTTTCCCTGTTTTGACCCTTATTCTCCTGCTCCATGATGGTGTTGT